TAAATTTATAAAATATAAAAATAAAAAATTCAAAACTAAAATTATACTAAATGCAGCCTTTTACAACATGTGAAACTACAAAATATAATTCCCAACTTTCTTTGAGGGCCCCCATAAAAAATGCAAAAAGAAAAATGAAAACCAAAGCCCACAAACCTGTCATCTAGAAGCCCGTGGACCAGGTAGAAGCTCAAGCGGAACGCAAAGGCATTCATTGAACAAACGAACAGCAAGATTTTTTTTTTGGAACAAATGAACAGAAAGAATTTTATTAGCAAAAACTAGACAGGAAAATCTAGCAATAAAAATAAAAGGCTATGGAGCTTGATATTCATGATTTTGGTCCTTGAAATAGCTGGAAGAAGTTTTTGAATATCTATGTCACCTACGTGAAAAAAAGGGAAAGAACTAGTTAGGGTGGAGGTGCTTCTGACGTATGTTCTTTGATACTTTAGGTAATGTCTGGTGAAGATGTGGGAGAAGGGAGAAAAAATCTAGGAGAAAAGATGGACTCGAAAGGAATTACCTTTAATGGAGGAGGTCATTTTATAGTTTTTTTTTTTTTAATTTTATTTTATATATTTTTCATGTGATAGGTAAATCTGTCAAATTTTATATGTAGTAAAATTTTTATTTGACAAAATAATATATGTGATAAATTCAATGTCTAATAAGAGTATGATATAATTTAGTAGTCTATAAATATATTATTTGATACGATGTAAGGCCCTTATCTTTTGTACTTTGTTTTTTACTTAGTCTTGTTGGCTAAGTTAATGTCATAGTTTCACCTAAAGTAATTTATTAGTTATGCAGACTCTAATTAAAATAACTTATTAATTAAAAATCTAAAAACCTCATAAGTATGAACATCTATCAAGTAGTTTACAAAATCCTTCTCCAGGTTAGACTAAATCAACAAATCTTAGCTATTTCACAAGAGATATAAACCAATGAAAAATCACTATGTGTAGGGTAGGTATTTAACTAATATCATAACTCATCAAAAGCAAATTGTAAAAACGTCTAGCCTCACACTATCATGCACAAATCTGAAAAGTAAATAGAAATGCAAATCTAAGAGTCCCTTCTCATATGCTGTTCAGGGAAAGATTCTTTAACTCTTTCATATTGGGAAATTTTGAAAAACAGTCTTAAACTTCACCAAATTACAGGTCAATATGTCATTTTTTGTTTCCTAAGCAGCCAGACTAACCTGTTCTGTTGTGTTTCCCTGCAGCAACTAACACGGGTTCAAAAAATAAGCCTATGTGCTGACTACAACTCACACCGCACGAGTGTATTAATACAGCTCACAGTAGGCAAAGTTGTTCATTACTACCAAGATCCACTAGAAAATGCAGATTTCAAAATTAGCTTGCAAATAAAAACCTCATTTCCATCAGACTTTAAGGATTAATCTAAACGCTGAAATAATTTTACCCAGGCAGTATCAATGTGGTATCATCTAATTCTAAGGTCATCACGAGTAGAACGTGGAAAAGGCCATATTTTCCCATTTCAGGCCCAGCAATGCAGAAGAGCTCTAACAGAAACATAAGCAAAAAGCAATCTGCATTTCTATTTGGAAAACTCACTTGAAAATGAATAAATAAGACATCAAGAAACTGCTGTAACATAAAACTATCATAGCCAAAACAAGAATCAAACCAATGAGAGGAAGATAGTGTAAGAACAAGGATTGAAGAACCCACTGACTGGATCAGATAGTAGAGCATTGTTGAGCACTGTAATCATTTTGAGAATCCTATTCCTATCAAACTGAGCGACATCAAAAACAAACATACCTTTCAACAGGCAACAAAATGAAGAATAAATTTGAATTAGAAAATGACAAAAGACATGATCCAAAGTGGAAGATATCCATCCTATTAATGACAGATTACGAAATAATGGCTGCTAAAATAAATGCATGAATAGCATTTTGTGTAAAACTGTAAAAGCCAGATCGTTTAGCAACCTAATTAAAACCAAGTTGATAACCTAACCCTCCTCTCATACTGCTTAAATCAAGTAGGAAGTTCAAATATAAAAGCCAACAGAAGAACAAATACTTATTCGAGGGTGACCATAGATTTTACATAGAGATCGGATTTCATTTTTAAAACAAAGATTTAGTTTTGTAATTGATACTTGACAAACTTAGAACAGTAGTACTGTATTCAGCGTAGTTAGTTTTGATCCCAAAAAAAAAACGCTTCAATGCAAGAAAATTCCTACTTAAACGGTTAAAATGGGTACCATAATAGCATGCCCTCAGGATATGCATGAAGGAAGGTTTAGCTGAAATAGCTGTTTTGTCAAAAATCAGCTGCTTTGTTAGAAAAATCAAAATATGATTTAATTTTCCTTTAACATTTACAAAACCAGAATTACGAGAGGGCCACGATGGTATACAAGCACTTGCAGCCATAAAAGGAGAGAAAATTAATCATGGGAAGAAAGATTTTGCAAGGACTATGAACACTAACAGTCAAGATGGTACCACAAGGAAAGAAGTTAGACTCACAGCCAGTGAAGGGATCACAAAACGATGGATCAAGAGCATAATCCTTTTGTCCAGTGTTTTGGAGATTAAACTCAAATGCTTGAAGGTAAGCAAGAGGAGGATTCACCTTCAGAACCACTTATCATAAGGCAACAGTGTATCCAAGGCTTAAAAAAAAAAAAACCACCAGATATCGTTACGAATGACATGTGCAGAGAATTACTAGCCAAGGAGAAGAAGATGCCATGTTTTCAAATGACAAGGAATCCAACCCCCACCATATTAGGTTTAAATGAATATAAATAAAATGTGGAAAGAAATATAGGAAAACAGGGGACAAGGAAGAGTACAAGATCAATTATAGAGAAACTTACGATTGTGTTCAGCATCTCCCATATCAACATCAAATACTCCCAATATTGATTATGAAGCCGGTAACCAGTACCCAGATTTTTTGTAACCAGTAAGGTCTATCTTCAAAGCAAATCTTACTGGTATTTATAGCTATTACATGTAAAATTTTCGTCTCCAGTATGAAACACACATTGTATGAGTAGTTCTGAAAAAATTGACATCATACATGACCCCATTGAAATTTTCAGTAACCTGTATAGACTTTGGAACATCTTTATTATTGTTCGCTCAAGGAGCTTCTTACCTGCTATGTTCCTCTACTAATTAGTATTAAACCTTTAATGCTTCGTTTTTTGAAAAAACCTTCACGGCAACTTCAATGTTCATCATCAAAGCATGCTTATTATACCATCTATCTAATACAAAATTACAAACCATCCATAGAAAGGATTATATTTGCTTTTGTTTTCTTCACAATAGATAAAAGATAATCAATTTCTGCAGTACTCTGGTATATTTACAAGGTTGGACGTATTTACAAGTGCATAAACAATCAGGACAGGGACATTGACTCAGAGTGGAAACACTTATTTAAGACAAAGACTCAAGCTTCAGTTGTCAAATTGATCAGCAAATGGTAAGATTTAAGAGCCAATTAAACCACAACCACCTCAATCCCAAGTATTGCCCATCAAAACAAAATTCACCAGCGGCAAATTCCAGGCATTTCTGTTCTGCTTAAAGTAAGTACTTCCTCGTATTTTGACCCGTATACAAAGCCCCACAACTGCAATACAGAGGTAAATCCTGTGAGATTATGAACTTGTTCCTCTGGGGATAAGCTTAGATTCAGTGATCAAATCACTAAGGCATCTCACGAAGTGATTGAGAGAGAAAGGAGTTTCATGCATACCTCCACTTCCTTAACTTCAAAGTCTTCAGAGTGTGCAAGACAAGGGTTTCCATAAGTTTCTGAGACTGAGCTTGATCCATTCAACCTTACATGAAATTTTGGAAAACGTCAGAAACTAGCACATCATTTGGAACTTCACTTTCAATGGATCTGTTTGTTATAAATTGGAGGTATAATTTTAATCAAATCAACAATTTTGTGGGAAAGAGGGGGAAGAGGAGATGTGAAGAAAACAGTTCAAGGTGGAAATCTCACAAGTCACCATCCAGATAGAGCGCAAAATGTCCACCACCTCCAATTGCCAGAAATTCTGTTGAGCACAAGGTGAAGTAGCGATTTGCCCCTGGTTTGATATTTGCCATTAATAGTATCAAAATCACTCAGAAAAACTCATTTAATTGACAGCAGTACTTCTGACATTTACAGATTCTTCTTTTGAAGTCCTTTAAGCACAAGTCAGACAAACATTTTGAGCAGTTAATGGCTTATAGCATCCAATATGATTCAAATACTGCCATAAAGATATCCAATTTACAAGGCAGGAAGGGAGGTGCGACATGTCGTTGCCACCAAGCATTCACAAGTACCAACTATTTTATCATATTACTAAACATATTCTGAAGGTATATCATTATGATTTATAGAAAATGAAGTGGCATTTTAAAAGCAGATACAAACTCTCAGATTCTTTTTCCTTATTAGCTAGATAAAGAAGGGAATACCTGTGGGACGGAATATGACAGGGTGGCCAGGTGTATTTGTGAAAACAAATGTACTATTTGTTCCCTGTTCAAAATTTAATGTCAACAAGATATTTTAAAAATAGGTTCTGAATAAGAAAAGTGTTTATCATCTAGCATTACCTGATATTTTCTCTTATTGATTGGTCTTAGGGGAGCCTCAACTAAGCCACCAAAAACTGCTCCTTTACGATCTCCAACAACCTGCCATGAACTAAGGGGGGTAAATCCATAAAGGATTTCAAACAAACAAGCCTACACTCACAAGGCCACAACCCAACTATGAAAAAGAAAAAACACTAGAAACAAAAAAAATATAATAATTGCAATCAAACAATAAAGGCTTGTTTTTCTCAACCAAAAATCTGATTGTTTCTGAATCCCTGTAAGGCATGGCTGATGGCTGGGGATATATCCAGGCCTAAAATACTGATGACTAGGTCAACCATCAAGTGCACCATAGCTTACAAAATTTCATTACCTGGTCTTGAAGGAATGGATAAAGGATTTGGAATTGAATTACCGTGAAGCTAAAAGGAACCTATAAGTTAACAAGAAAATACACTGAAAGTACAGTACAATCATATATGAATTGGTTTAAACAATCCAGGAAAAAAGGGAGCAACAGCCATGCTTGTACCATTCAATATTTTCAATGATTAAATTTTAAATATGTATGGTTCATAATTAAATGGCAGCGCACCAAAACATTTCATTAATATTCTACGATTATGTGAACAACATCCCTTAAGTATCCACTTAGTTCTCAACATGCTTAGAACAATAATTACCACCTCAAGTAATTCAAAAGATAGGAAATTGTTCAGAGATATTCTCATAAGTCATGATATAAAAGATACAAGTTACCTCTTTTAGACAACAAGTATTTCACCCAAGCTTTACTCAAAAAAGTATTTCACAAAAGAGTTTTGCTTAAAAATTAGTGGTCTTAACTCGGATGAGTGGAGATTATATGGACTCTACACACAATCACGCATTGAAAAATTAATTTCCAGAAGAGATTATTCAACTATTACCAGCAAACTGGGCCCAGGCCAGAGCATGCTTCTTCTGTACAATGTTGAAAGTGATATGCCATGCCTCCATGTACTGTTAAGGGACAGCACAGATATATGAATGGAAAAACACTGATTATTATCACTATTACATAAGAAAGAACAAATGTAATCCTATGAACAAATGTCAATTACTATTCACCTGTAAAGCAATAACCATTTCCTTCCCTGAACAAGTGCTGGAAGTGAGGCATAAAGAGCGCTTCTTGTTTTCTCTGTAAGAAGCAAGGATGGTTCAGACATTTCTGGAGCATCCACCAAAGCCTCATGCTCCTTGTCATTTTGCATTTGCCTCAACTCAAGCCCATCAAATTTAGTATCATCCTCATGGACCTCATCACCAATTTTCATGTCAGAATCAGCCTTATGCTCTTGATTTCTGTAACCACGAATTCTAGTAGCTTGGTAAAGAGATCTAAGTGATTGCTTACCCCTTGAAAGTAAGCTCTTTCTTCCACCAATCCCTTTCATTGTTGTGTCAGATGATGCATCAACAGCCTCCTCACAATTGTCATTTTTCTCATCAGTATTCAAATTAACCCCTGAGTCTGAAGTTGACAATAGCGAATAAAGGAAAGCAGTAAAGGAAGAAGTATCAGGCCCATCAACTAAATCCTCATTATCCTCTTCCTCAGCTGGATCTTCTTGACTTCTTTTTGACACACTTTCTTTTTCCTAACAACAAAAAACCCAATTAGTTACAGATATAATCATCATCTTCCTAACAAAACAAAACTCAATTAGTTACAATCAATCATGAACAACTTATTGGGAGCCTAACTAAGGCAGTAGTTTACAAAAATGTTATCTGCGTCCATCTGGTAAAAGATAGTAATTCAAGGTGAAAGTTCTGATTCTCTGAACTTTACATACAAATAGAGAAGCCTATTCTAAAGATACCCATAAACACCATAATCAATCCTCCATCAACAAATTATATTAGAAATTCTAACAAACAATTTCAAGAATTACGCCATTAATTCCAATTCCAACAGAGAATTTAGAAACCCACGAAGTGAAAAACCCAAATACGAGCCAACAAAATAAAAGCAAACAGCTTCAAAACAAGCAGCACAAGGGAAAAGAACAGGTTACGTACAGGAGATTGAGGCTCCGAGGGTTTATCAGAGATGGGGTTGAGGAAGACAGTGGTGAGATCAGAGACAAAGTGGACAGCTTTGCTCCTAATTGACCTCAGTTTTCCCATTTCTATTTATGCACAATCAGATTTCCAGCAGCAATTCTCCTCCTTTACGATTCCGGTGCTGCATGATTCCAGATTTCAACTAATTCCCACTACACAGCTACAACCCCCACCAAGTAATTGAATTACTTAGAACTGTTTCTATTTTGAAGGAGAAATCTTTCTTACGTTTGGCAAGGAAATGGAGTACGTTTAAAATGACTTGACTTGCTGGTTCTCTAAATTTTCCTTCTTGACTTGACGCTGGAAACTATTGGGGTTTGTAGAATATTAACGTTTAGTGACGGAGTCGTAACAACTAGGACTCCATGGCCCAATGGATAAGGCGCTGGTCTACGGAACCAGAGATTCTGGGTTCGATCCCCAGTGGAGTCGTTTTCTTTTTCTCACAATTTCGAGCTTCCCGTTGCCGAATTCTTTTAAGACATTTATAAATATGAACTACGAAGTGGGTGTAATAGTCCCCAAAGGAGTGTTGGTTTTGCTTAAGATAAATTTTAACATAAGTAATTAATAATATATCTAACATTTATTAACAGTATTTAAATAATTTTATAGATAAATTTAATATTTTAAGTAGCAGAATGTTCTAATTTTTATTTATTTATTTAATAATCCATAATAATATCTTAGCAAACAGATATGAAGCTTAAGTTTTTTGTTTAAGTCGGAGTTTTCTTAGTTTGGTTAGGGTTAGAGTGGCATTTTACTACTAATGCTTGGGTTGGGTGACTGGAGTATGTTCGGAGGTGTTCGCCAGAGTTATTTCAAGGATTTGTCTCCTATACTAATGCAGTAATACTAAGAAGAGTTTAACAAAATTATTATTCACTAACTTTAAAATGCTAATTAATTTCAAATTAAAGCACTTGGCCATAGAAGTCCAATGATATTAATTATTGAAGAGTGCATTCCCTCCCTTTCCCTAAGCAGATTTCGAATCCACTCTATGTTAAAAAGTTAAAAAAAAAAAAAATTTCGGATTAAAGGTAAAACTTTAAATTTATGGAATGTCAAATAAATAATCCACTAAAATACTAAAAAAAGGAAATGTGGTACCCAGCCGGGTGCAGAGAGAGAGAAAGAGAGAATAATCCGAGTAAGTTTGTCGTTGTAAACCTACCCGATTATTTCACGTATTATATAGCTTCATGTCCTGTTTAGCCCATAGCATTACTCATTTTGAGCATCATGCAAGTTCGTTTTAAGAATCTACATGTATTCCCTTCCTTCCTTGAGGAGCGTTTATTAATTAATGGAAATGCCTATTGAGTTTCCAAACCAAATATATATAGATTTAGAGTTGTAAATTTACAAAATTAAATTAAAAAATTACAAGTATCCTAAACAAAAACTTAATTGAAATAAGATATTGCTTTTCAATTTATTGATCAAGATTTAATTTTTTGATGATTGTTGATATGCTTTATATTGGATAAAAAAAATAATCTTGATGTGCACACAATCTAACCTAATTAAACCTCTCCATTGAAAAGAAAAATGAATGGGAATAGATATAATTACTTCAAAAAAGAAACAATTTGTTGATTTAGAGCTTTTAGTTTGAACTAGTGGAAGTCTAAAAATGTCCTTTAATTTTAAGTTTAATGTTAATTTTAGTTTTTAAACTTTCTTTGATGTACTGTTTTGAACTTTAAACAATTTTTTTTACTTTTTATGGTCCTTAATTTGAAAAAAATATGTTTGTTTTTTTTTTTTTTGAACATTTTGTTATGGAGCCGGCTCAAACCGTTGTCCTGAGAGAAAGGGATATGAACCTTACAAGTGTGGCTAGAGTCACTTGGTTCGAAGGATCAGGTTCGAAAAAAATATATATATATTTGTTTATCCTTTTGTCAACAAAAATCCACGTGTCTTTAAGTTAATTAAAATATTAATTTTTTTAATGACATGCCAATTATTAAGTCTTGGAAGACGAAGAAAAGGGCTGAGTCAAACTCCCGCCCATTACTTGCGCCAATTATTCTTCAAGTTCGACCATTTTATTAACTTAATTCACTTTAGAATTAATAACTAACTCTTACAGCTTGCTTGGTTTAGATGGAAGGAAAGGGGAGAAATTTTCGTTTTTGACTAATAAAAAATTAAAGGTAGGGGATGAGTTTTCCTCTATTTTACTTTAGTTTGTTTTTTTTTTTTTTTTTTTTTTTTTTTTTTTTTTCCGTTCCTTCCATTATACTCAAACCAAACAAATTGCTAGACTCAAATTCACTCTCGACTTGCTGAAGAATTGTTAGACACAAATAGTTTATTTTGATTAACGTTCTCAAATTCAATCTGATTTTTTAATAAGTTTTCGACTCTTCAAAATTTTTTTAAACATTGAGGATATAACTCAAATCTTATATTTTAAATTAACATAAAAAAATATATATTAAGAATTAGTACCCAATAGATCACATAATGGTTTTAAGTTCGATTCTTCAATTTAATCTTACCATTTACAAGTTTCTTACAGAAAATATTTTGGCTAAAATAGTGCATAAGTCCTAAACTTACATCAAATTTACAATTAAGGTTTTAAATTTTTTTTTTACTCAATTAAGATCTTAAAATTGTTAAAATTCTTAAATAAAATTTCAATAAGACGGACACTGCTGTGTTACCCGTGACATTCTTATATACATATACATAGTTTTTTTTTTT